AATGCTACAAAAATTTCTTCTTTGATTTCATTATAAAGTACATCCATACAACCAAAACTATCAACTACAAAATTAGAAAATGGTTTAGTGGCTACAAGTATAGAAAATATTTAAAAACAAACATTCATTTCTGAACTTCATTCAATTTTAAAATTCAAAAATATCGGATTAAGATGGAAATTTTTCTTTCTTATTTCAATCAAACGTTAAGCTACTCTATTGTCTTAGACTAGTTCACCTTTGAATATTTATATCAAAAGCGTATAATTACAGAAAAATGTAGCGTAATTACAATATTTTGAAGTAATAGTGATGGAGGAAAGGACTGACAGATAGTTATCCATCAAGGTATGGACATTTCAAACACGACGTGTGATGTTACACTTATGAGGATCACATATTTTTAATCATCACCAGAGAAATTCTACTAGACCAGCTCATCATATTCAACATCCGGTCTAGTCATGCATTGATTATGTAGCTGGTGTTAGGGAATCTATCAAAGATGTTGCAACCTAGTAAGCACAAATTGCATAAAGGCTATACCTATGCAAGCCATAACCTAAAGATTCATCATCACTAGTGAATTTTATGGGCTTATAAGTAACTTATATGTATGTTTCATGGAGAATGCTCGAACAGTGAAAGTCAGCAAGGAAAAATTGTAGAATATTAAAGCTCTGTGTGCCGTAATAAAAGCAAAACAAAACCGATATGTTATTCATTAATACAAATTCATCAATTACTTCTTTTTTTTGCAAAAAACTGTTCCCGTAAGATTTTCAGAAAATCCATTGAAAAAAACATTTATATTGGAGATTGATAGAGCCGTACTTGCCGATTCCGTCAAACGTCAACATTTATCCAGTTGTTCAAGATCTATTCAATGCTTTTTTAAAATACGTTTATCTCATCACTAATAGTGCTTATTTCAAATCTAAAATAATTGAATATTTTACGATTTAGTGTTAATGTGCAGATTTCTTCTTGTGTATATCTGAGCGCAGCTGTTTTACTCGTTTTTTACAAGAACTATTTGGTTGGTATGTGCGATTCATCAAGTCTTCCGTGAAAAACTGTCAAGCCCGGCTATTTCTCTGTAAAAATATGAATGACAGTACGATTTCAGAATAAAGTTAAATTTTCTCAAGGGAATATTTATACTCGATTAACATTGTATAGTAGAACATGCTGTAATGGAATGAACGATACCTTCATGACGTCCAATAGATTTCAGAGAAAAAGAAAAAAAGGATAAGTTTCAACTAATGACAAATGATGGAAGAAGACTATCAGATGTGCATCTTTATCTTCTAAAGACTGCTCATTTACATGGGAGTGTAGTTTACTTGAATTCTTTTTCTCCTAATTTGTATTAACCTTTGTTTAAATAATGTTTTTTTAAAGTGGAATGTAGGATGGAATTATAAATACTAATAATAATAAAATTGACCTGTCTAGAGTCTGATGTTCAAAGACATGAAGTGAAGCAATAAAAAAAAGAAATGAAAAATGTAAATAGAAGAATGTGTTTTAAATAACAAAGGTATTTTTTTTTCTTTCGTTTTAATTTGACACTTTTATTCTACTTGCACGTTTGTCGTTTTTTTTTGTACATATACACACTAACGTTAGTGAAATATCTTGATAGATTGTATAATATAGTTAGATCTTTTTTTATACAAAAAATAATTTAAAACAAAAACTTTTTTATTAATAAATAACAATAGCACTCAAATAAAAATACTTTTTCATGTTTAATACGATAATGTAAATACGTATAAATTTCAGCTTATAAGTACTCTTCTCCTTTTTTTTGATAATTTTTTTTTATTTTGGGTTGAACTCTTGTAGAGAAAAATCTGTAATACAAAATAAGACCACTACCAACGTTTCACGACCTATTTGTGCAGAAGTTATGAATTTTTTCATGTTTTTGCTCAAGAGGCTGAAAAAACTTCAAAAATAGGTTTAGTTTTGTTAATTTTTCTTTCATTCGTAATGTTTTCAAAATTTTTCTTCTACAGAGCAGAATGTTTTCTTTACAATGAAATCACTCTCAAAATTTTCCAATATGTTTTCGCGGAAATATGAGTATCACCCTGAAAAAGTGAGCTATTCGATGTCTCCTGTAACGTTCAAAACACAGTCTGACTGACACTGACACTTTCAAGCAGAATAGCATATTTTTTGAAAAAAATTCAGATTATGAGGTAGGATCTGAATTATCTGTAGTAAAAATTTTGGGCTCGATCGGTCCCTTGCTTGAGGAGTCGTAACGTGACTTGACGAAAATCGCGGCCTTCAGAAAATCCATAGAAGAAACATGTTAGAAAATTCGGGATAAAAATACATCAATGTTTTATTTCTGGTGAATATTTGCACGTAATCGGATTTTTGCTACCATCTAATTGAAGAAGGTGAAAAAGAAGGAGAGTTATACTGACAGTGAAGCAAGCAATTCTCGTGCTGTTTAAAGTACGATCGGTTTAATGAGAGAGAAATTAAGTGAAATAGAAAATTTTGAGAAATTATCTCTTGCACTCAACTCTCTAAATCTTAAATTTATTATGACCTTGTTGAAATTCATTTTATTTTCCTAACTATTTTAGTTTTAATATCGAACATTTTTGATTTTCTTTGTAAACTTTATTCATGAAATACATCATGGTTGTCGACTAAATGTTGTCTTTCTTTTTCGATTAACGTTTAATGAAATACACACATACTTCTGTCGATTAATGTGTTAAAAAAATAATAGAAAACATAATATGCTGAAGGTATGTAAAGTGTGTATTTAAGCAATTGAAATTGCCGCTTTTTTTTTGACTTCTAAAAATATTCTATGTTTTTTTCTTCTTCTTCTAGATATTAGAAGATGTTAACGACAATAATTGACAATACTAAGTTTGAGAGTGGCAATCAATTACCAATATTTGTGAACAGTCTTACAGGTTCATTAGTTATTCATACTGCAGATAATTACTCAGGTGTACGAAAATGGTATTTTTTCCATGATTCTGGATATGTGTTATTTTTACGTTTAATTAATTTGACAAATCTTAATCCATACGTGTATACATTTAATATTTATAAAGGAAACACAATCAACGATGAATTAGTGTATAGTTCTTTGTTAAAATCAACAAATTATTTAGAATTAAATGTAAAAAGTTCAAATGCACTGGCAGAATTAATAACTGCTGAAAATAGTACACAAAATGTTTCATTTACTATTGAATATTTATTTCAAAGTAAGAAGTATTTCGTCTATTTACGATTGATATACTCATAAGAAAGTATTTTAAGCTTCATTACACACTCATTTTTTATATCTCTTTTAGAATTAAATTCACGTAGTGGTGTAACAAATTCTTTTTCTAAACAAATGAAAGCCGTTGGAAATGAATCTACTACTACCACTTCATTTTATCAGCAACCATCATTTATTGCCCTTATGTCTATTATTGGTATTCTATTCATTATAGTTCTGTTTATCATCATCTTTCTTTGCTATAGAAAAAGTATGCAAAAAAAAGCGAAACATTCTCTGAAAACTACACATCCTCGTCATCCCTATTCACTAAAAGAAAGAGTAAGACATTTTATTCAAGGTAAACCATCGAAACAAACCGATCAGTCACATTTAACTTCTCTAACATCATCATTTTCTTCATATTCTGTCGATCAAAAAAGAAATCATATTCAACCAACAACCATACCAATTCAAAATAATAATAAAACTTTACTAGATCAATCTCCAACATCGTCAAATATGATCAATAATGCTATATTACCATCTCAACGTTATCAACAATCCATAATGAATGCATACTTAACAGATTTACAAAGTTTTCATCCAAATATTAATCCAAGAGAAATGAATAATTATTTATTTGTCGATTTACATTCAACATCAAGTGAAACATTTCCAGATGGTAGTGCTGATTATGAAGCATCTACAACAACAAATATTGATGATGCCATAGAAACTGTTGCTCATATAAATAATCAAAATCCCAAATATTCAAGACGAAATATATGGGGTAAAAATGATCGAAAACAACGTCATTTAAATGCAGTTGATCAACCGAGATTTTTAATGCGAGAACGGCAATTACCTGTAAATATGTTATCATTACCACAATTACGAAGTTTAAATATTTTTCAAAATGATAATACTACAACATCGATAAATACTCTAAATCAAAATAGTAGTTCGACATCAACAGAATTCTCAGTGACAGATGATGATTTTGATAACAGTCATTTCTATCATGTCAATCAAAATCCAATGAAAATTATCAAGGAAGAAGTGGAAGTAGAAGATGATGAAGAAGAAGAAGAAGATGATATTCCACAACATCATTCTACATTTCGTTCACTTGAATATCAACTTACATCACCAACAATGCAAAGTATATCAACTAATCAAAGACAAAATAGAATTAAACATTTTAATAAACGATCATCTATTCCCGTGCAGACCGGTCCATCTATGATTCTAAATGCAAATCATTTACTTGATCGATCAACATCTACAAGAAAATATAATGATCAACAAAATATTTTCATGCAAAATAATAATTCATTTGAACAACAACAATATTTTGAAAAAGTTTCAACAAATCATGGAGATGATAGTAGTGATACATCGCTTATGAACAACGAATCTAAAGTTAATCAGATTGGTGATGGTATAGCTTATATTAATGATTCTATTTTAGTTTAGAAAATTTTGTTGTAAAGAGATTTTTAGCAAAAAAAGAATTCTAATTTTTTCAAATAAGATTCTTCTTATCATTATCTACCATAGAGAATTACAGCAATGGTATGTGTATCACACATCAAAAATGGTTTTTTTATGGTTTTTTTTCTTCAAATACAATCACAAAAGACAAACACAAAAAGAAAAAGAAAAATTTTTTAACTTAGATCTTACAAATAAAATAGACAGCAATAAAATATAGAAAAAAATTCAATTTAAAAGACCACAGGTAGAGAGCGACCGAAGAACTTATTATTATAGTCTGATGGACATAAGTTCAAAAACAAACAACAAACTATCAAAGCAGCTTGATTAAATAAATATCAGATGTAAATTCCATTCGCACATAGAAGGAACAATATAAAAAGATTTTTTTAATACGATAAAATCAGATCAATCTCAATGAACTATCATAAAACCATGCACAATCTTTTTAAAAATAAAAAGTATACATAAACGATCTACAAAAAATTTGTGGGAGATAAAAAAGAAAATGGTTGATAGGAATGAAATGTGCCACAATAAAGGTAAACACAGTTCATGACTGACCGAATAATGCTAGGATTTTTCTTTTTGCAAAAAGATACACTATAAGGAAATATACTTTTCTTTTTAAACACATTTCAGTTTATGACCTAGTATTTGAACGAAAACGTATTGTGGCAAATATGTCATCAATATAATTTATCCATCGGTATCCGATAATTAAAAATGTTGAAGCAGCAGAAAATCCGACTAATAAACGTAATTTTTCTTCATTTGGATATATTGATCTGATAATAGACATTAATAATACCGAGCCAAAATTGAAGATTACAGAACCAAATACACTAAAACAGAGACGATGAAAAAAAAAATTAAAAAAGAAATTCATTTTTACCTGTATAGTACACGATCAAAAGGTGATGGAGCTGTTGCCAAATGTTTTGAACCAAACAAATATAAACCAACTCCAAGATGTGAGCCAAACCAAAGTGTATTTGCTATGGCAACATCATTTTTTCCAATAATTCTGAATATCAGAAAAAAAGCATTTTAAAGAAAAACAAGTTTTCTAAATGATTGTTCAACGTACTTTGAAAAGGTGGCAGGTGCTAAAACATGTGTACTGAAACCGAGTAAATTTGTTGTGGAGAATAATGGAATATACCGATATAAAATTTTTTTTCTTATATCCGCATAACGATGGGAGGTTCCCTCAGACATCGCCTATAATATCTATTGTGTGATCTAAAAAACAAAAAGATTCTATAAAATTAACAAAATTGAGGGATTTCTGCAGTATAACAGTCGGAAGAAATGTTTGACATGTTTAAAGCTATCTTATTTTCCTCCGGGTATTGCTAAAAGACGCGGACACCCCCAAATTAAAATCTGAGTTAGCCAATCGATAGAGCTCGTCGAGCTGAGTATAGCAATCCCTAACGAACACTTAAACATTTTTTTTATAGTTTCGCTTTTTAAGCATACATTTTGAATGAACACTCACACACACCTAAAGAACGCCCACGAACATCCACGAACGCCTACAAACACCCAAAAAAGTGTACCAGATTCATCTCCAGGTTATTTTGGGTTGAGGGTGAGCCTTCCAGTACCTCACCCTCACCCCACACCGCACCCTCAGCCCAGAATAACCTGGAAATAAATTTGGTACACCTTTTGGTGTTCTTACCCTTTCTTCTTTGTGTTCGTGAGTGTTCGTAGGTGTTCGTGGGTGTTCATTCAAAATGTATGCTTAAAAAGCGAAACTATAAAAAAATTTTTGGGTGTTTGTTAGGGATTGCTATACTCAGCTCGACGAGCTCTATCGATTGGCTAACTCATATTTTAATTTGGGGGTGTTCGTGTCTTTTAGCAATACCCTTTTCTCCATGCTGTTGCTAGGCAATAATCATCAAGGTCTATTATTATTCGATTTTTAGACACGATCTGCTCACTCATTTTTCTGATAAACTGTATCATATCAGAAAATAGCACTACCGTAGATGAGTGCAGCCGATGTTCTATTACGGAACCTTCCCTTTTTCCGCGAATTTGCTAGGTTTTTATAAGAAAAATACGAAAAAAGGATTTAACGTAGAACTTTTGGATAGCGAGACACAGTAGATCGACTAGATCGTATTATTGTCAGTGTATTATATAAACTTTTGCAGGCCAGCGGATCTTTGATAGGCGAAATCTCAAAGGTTAATGACGTTTTTCATTAAGTAATCAAATTTTTTTAGTTTCGATCAGGAGGCGTAATTTCTTCTCTAGCAACGAATTTTTTGTAAAATGTTTCCAAGTTAAAATTCAACACCGAACGGATCGAATGAAACAAAATCAATTTCCTTTTATTTACTCGATACTAGTTTATGTTCTATGTGCTTCAGTGCAGTGGGCAGAGATTATTCTATTAGATAGATTTTTTGAAGTGAGATATTTGTGAGTAAACACTAATATTCGATAGAAAATCGGAATTGAAAATAGTATGTCAGATATTTGGACAGGCAGTTTATTAGTTGAGAGAATTCTAAACTGGTAGTGTCATAATACCTGTCAGTCTCTTATGGCATTCCAGGTCTACTAAAAGATAATCATGATATTTGCTGTGCTCATAAAAAGTTCGACAAATTTCTGACAGAATAAAAATTCCCAAAACCTGGACAGTGTTAAAATTTAAGCTGGGCAAATTTCCCGCTTCTTCACCCTAATCGAAAATACTATATGACGTATACATCCCAGCCCTCTCCCTCGTTTCTAATGTTCCGGTAGTTTACGTGTGTTGTAGTCTCAACGGTAATTCTAATGCTCAATAGTTGTCTGATCATCCAAACAGTGGTGATGTGTCCAAAAACAGGAGAGGTGCATGCAAAAATAAAAATACACTAGAAACGGGTAAATAAAAGGTTTCATTGTGAAAAATGCAATCCATATGAGGAAAAGAATCACGATAGGCCACGATCATTTTGTTTATAGACCAATAAAAGGAGTTTATACTGGTAGCGACACTTTCTTGATCTTCTACCTAGTAGATTTTCTATTTTTGACGAGAGGTACCGTCAAAAGTTTAAGAAAAATTTTGAAACTAATATTATTTTCCCACGGAAATTTTTGTGCGCCATTTTGTTCGAAAACTTTTCCTAGACTTTTGACGAGAGCCTCGCCAAGAATAGAAAATCTTCTGGGTTATCGAGTGTGCTGAATACAAATGGTATGTGGACTGAGGCTAAATGACTCATCCCTTCTATAACAAATTATGCACTTTGAATATGTGTCAGGTAAAATGAAATTCATTGGGTGAATGTATTAAATTAAATAAAGTTTTTAATCAGAAAAGTTTTGGCGTTTTGGGTTTTTTCTGGAAAGTAGTAGTTTTCGAGATAAATAAATTTTGCCGAAACGGCGGCGCTACTATAAAGTGTAAAATGCATTTATTTTGAAAACTGCTGCTTTCCAGAAAAAAACGCCAAAACTTTTCTAATTAAAAACTTTATTTAATTTAATAGATTCACCCAATGAATTTCATTTTACCTAACATATATGCATCCGCTAATGATTGCATTTTTTAATCGTACAACAATCCGTCAGTCCCCACACTAAAAGGTCTTAGACGTTTTTTTTCTGACAGCTTCACTTTGCCTTAAATGCCTTAAATGCCTTAAATGCATTACAGAACAATCGCCATTAATAATAATAATCAACAGCGTTAAAGCTGAGAGTAAATATTACATTACCCACTGAAATCTTTTTATCTAGTAACAGAACAACGTTGGAACTACTTGTGCCCCAAATATTTCTAAACTTCATATTATGCCAACGGAGAAAATCGATTTTGAAAAATGACATGTTTGTCTAAAATGACTTTTGGAATTTTCTGAGTTCTTTCTCGCAGAACTGGTATCTACATACAAAGAAGCACAGAAACTAAGAAATTTTTATCCTCCATACAAGACTGTTTTCAAAGAAACCTGGTCCGGGTCGCATTAAAAGTTCTGCGGGACCAAGACCATCCTGCAGAACTCGATCTCTAGGTCCTGGTCCCAGTCCCGTAAAAAGTCCCGCGGGACCGAAACCGTCCCGCAGACCTCTACTCAATCGTCGTTTATATGAGATGGCTCTTTAAAGGGAAAGTGAAGTGACGGAAAAAACGCGTCTAAGAATCACGAAAGGAAGCACTTTTATCCCTTGGCCGTTAAATCATCTATTCCGCTGTCGCCGAAACCGTTTATTCACGTATCAAAATTCAATAAAGCTCAGTTTATTCTGCACTTTGATCTTCGAGTTCCAACCAACCAAATGGAAGAATAAGCTAGGACTAAATTCAGTGCTAGCGTATCCTGATCATAAGCGACGATGATGATTAAGCTAAGCTACTGTAGAGGAGAAAGCTGCTGGGAGCAGCTTTTTGTCGTCCATCATTAACTTTTGACCGCTTTGAAATTTGATGTAAAGGTATAAATTAAAGCCTGATTTGAGTAAATATAATTAAATTTAACGTTATTTTAAGAATTACTGTGCTGAAATTCCGCGTCTGCGTTGAAGTTGAGAGGCGTCGCTTGTTTGCGGCAGTAACTGATCCGTTCCGCATCTTAGAGATAGTATTTCTGTTTCTTTAGAACGTCCTTGTTTGTCATTTAAACTCGATACTACTATACTTTATCAGGTCACTTTTTCGATGAGATGGAATAAAATTCAATCGTAATCAAGCTTTAATTCATGATCATGAGTAATTATTTAATAAAGACTGTTTTGAGAGGAAACTTCGGTATCCCTGTAATTTATCTTGGCGCTTCGTCAGGAAAAGAATTACGAAGCACGTTTATTTCTTAGTAAAAAATCTAGGTTTTTGTCAAACACATTAACTTTTTGAGTCCAAGAAACCAAAAAAACGCAAGGTCCTAAGCAAACATCACCTATGGGAAAAATCTAGATACATTTCATCTGTAATCGGGCGATACACGACTAGTTGCCATCGAGATTACTAGTTGGAAGAGGGACTTTTAACTAGATGTGAGTGCATGTGTAACTAGCAATAGTTAAATCGATCGATTATCGGGCAATAAATCGATAGTTGCAACAAGAAGAAATCTAGCAATCGCCCGATTACTAGATTTCCATTGTCGTTACCCGATAGTTGCAACCGAGTAAAAATCTAGTAATCTAGATGAATCGGGCGATACTAGATTCTTTTTTGACGCTTGGTGTTCCAGGTCGAGACACCTCTCTTTTAAGAATGTTCACTCAAATAGTTGGTATCTCGATTTCACCAAGCTACACTGTAATCTTGACAATTATTTATAGAAAATCAGAATTTTCAGAAAGTCCATATATGAAATCACCGAGGATTTTCTATTTTACAGAAAATCGAATTTCCAAGAATCTAGAAAATCCAGGAGGATGTTCTAGATTATTGGGAATTATTTATGGAAAATCCATGTTGATTTTCAAGAATCTTGAAAGTCGGTGTCGATTTTCTATAAAACAGAAAATCCTCGGCGATTTCATATATGGACTTTCTGAAAATCAATGGTGATTTTCTATAAATAATTTTCAAGATTGCCGTGTAGAAGAACACTAGAACAATTCTAGAAATATTAACGCAAAAATTCTATAGCCAAATCTGTGTATCTTATATAGCTACATCTTTGCAAAACAAAAAGGTGAATGACTGTCATCAGCCGTAGCAATTATGTATAGAAAATCCTCTTTGATTTTCTACTAATCTGAAAATCGATCTCGATTTTCTATAAATCTGAAAATTCTCCTTAATTTTCCAGATTCTTGAAAATCAACATTTTCTGTATAGTTGTAAAATCGGTGAGGATTTTCTAGTCGATTTTCTATAAAACTGAAAATAATTCAATATTACAGTATACCTCGTTGACTTTAGGGTCAGTTAGAGCTTGAGCTCAAAACAAGTACAAAGTAATTTTATTTCTTTATCTTTCTCATACTGAAAAACGTTTCTTGGTTCACAGGAACTGTGTTTATCTTTTTATGTTACTCTGCTTTATGCTGATAAGGGTTTGCACCACGTTAGAAAATAAGACGTGTGCTGCATATAAGACACAGATAACATATGTAAAGAAGAAATAAAAATTTTACATGTTAGTAGTATTTTTCGATCAACGAAACTTCATTTTTTCACTTCTGTCTTTATCAAGGATTGTATAAAAGAATCAGAAAGAATGAATCATCCATTCTTCTCCAATATTCACGCA